CCCCTAAACAGGTTGGGGTAGACGCACCTTTAGGGTATCAGAGTTCATTAGAAACTCACTTCGGTTGTATGCATGAATGCGCGGAGCATCAGGGGGTTTGCTCCCTGAACCCAAGGCCCTAAACCCTAACCCCTAAACCCTTTGGGGAGGGGAGATCACCCTAGACCCTAGACCCTAAACCCTACTAAACCTTAAACCCTAAACCCTAAACCCTAAACCCCTAACCCTAAACCCTAAACCCTAAACCCTAAACCCTAAACCCTAAACCCTAAACCCTAAACCCTAAGCCCTAAGCCCTAAGCCCTAAGCCCTAAGCCCTAAGCCCTAAGCCCTAAGCCCTATGCCCTACGCCCTATGCCCTATGCCCTATGCCCTATGCCCTAACCCTAAACCCTAAACCCTAAAACCTAAACTTTCCGAAGCCTTAAGAAAGTGCCAGGCAGACGTCGCACTCTGAACAGGATACTCCGGCCAGCTTCCTAAGTCGGAGATGGCCAAAATGGCGCAGCCCGGAGGGTCCGGGAACAAGGCTTGTCCCCCAAACCCTAAACCCTAAACCCTAAACCCTAAACCCTAAACCCTAAACTCTAATCCCTAAACCCCAAACCCTAAACCCTAAACCCTAAACCCTAAGCCCTACGCCCTAAACCCTAAACCCTAAAGGCCCATTTGTATGCAAAACTTCAAGACCTAAAGCCTCAGGCCCTCAGCCCTAGACGGAATCCCTCCCCCCCCAAAAAAAAAGGTCAAGGACCTGCTGGACGGGCGTTCTTCGTTTCACACCATGAGTAGAGGTCGTATTTCGACCGCAATCCTTATTATCTTTATTTGGGTGCCTGCGGAGTGGAGGCCCAGATCGTCAACCGGGACCTTAAGCTGTCATCTCCTTTCTTTCTGAGCTCCTTTCCCTCTCCGCTGCTCTATCTTTCGTGGAAGGCCCCCGTGTTGTTTTCCTTCATCATACAAGACGGCAAGGAGATAAGGAGAGGAGGCAGGTAATGAGGAGAAGGGTGAGCAGGAGAGAAAGAAAGAGGGAGAGAGAAAGGTCTGATGGTTCTTTTTTCGTTTTTTTTTTTTTTTTTTTTTTTTTTTATGGTTTCAGGTGAACCCTAAACCCTAAACCCCCTAAACCCTAAACCCTAAACCCCCTAAACCCTAAACCCTAAACCCTAAACCCTAAACCCTAAACCCTAAACCCTAAACCCTAAACCCTAAACCCCCTAAAAACCCTAAACCCTAAACCCTAAACCCTAAACCCTAAAAACCCTAAACCCTAAACCCTAAACCCTAAACCCTAAACCCTAAACCCTAAACCCTAAACCCTAAACCCTAAACCCTAAACCCTAAACCCTAAACCCTAAACCCTAAACCCTAAACCCTAAACCTAACCCTAAACCCTAAACCCTAAACCCAAGACCATGAAAAACACGAAAAAAACCCAGAAAAAACACGAAAAACAAACCTGGACCCGAGAGAAAGACAGAAGTAATTTTGGAAAATGCACCAAGCAGCAGTAATCACAAGAACATGTATGGCAACGCAAGGTAGGAGGTGGAAACAGAAACAGCCAGAGAGCGAGAGCTGTTCCTCTCGGTAGTTCCTTGGCTCTGGTGCGTCAGCAGTGTGCGGTTTAGGGTTTGGGTTTAGGGTTTAGGGTTTCGGGTTTAGGGTTTAGGGTTTAGGGTTTGGGGTTTAGGGTTTAGGGTTAGGGTTTAGGGTTTAGGGTTCAGGGTTTAGGGTTTTGGGTTTAGGGTTTAGGGTTCACTTTTCAACCCTAACCCCTAAACCTCTAACCCTAGGCCCTTCTGGCATTTCTTGGCCAATCGCTTGCACTGCCAGCCTGTCACCCTCGGCCCTAAACCGGCTCAGGATTTGTGTCGCTCAAACGTGGTTCCTCCGAAGCTTATTTCGGGGGCGTGCGGTTTGGGGTTTAGGGTGTATAGGGTTGAGGTCTCATCATCTCGCTGTGGAGGCACCTCCATCATTAAGATTCGCGATGTGCACTATCAGGAGCTGCCTCGGGAAATGCTAAACCCTTAAGCCCTAAACCCCAAACCCGAAAGGCTCGGAACATGCTAAACCCTCTAACTCCTAAAACCTGGGAAGGCACCAGCGGCTTAGAGATTGTCGAGGGGTTCTGGAAAGTCCCAAGCCCCCAGCATGTGGGGTTTACAGGATTTAGGGTAGTCACGCTTCTCAGAATCGAAGTCTGGACCCCAAAGCCCCTAAACCCTAAGCCCTAAGCCCTAAGCCCTAAGCCCTAAACCCTAAACCCTAAACCCTGAACCCTGAACCCTAAACCCTAAAACCCCAAAACCTCGGACCACACTGGGCCTGGTGTACAAATCCGTATGCCTGCCAGGTGCCTGCTCACCCCTAAATGCCTCCTCACCGCAAAAGAACTAGCTGATACTGTAGCCCTGAACATACTGAGGTAGGGTTTGGGGGTTTAGGGTTTAGGGTTTAGGGTTTAGGGTTTAGGGTTTAGGGTTTAGGGTTTAGGGTTTAGGGTTTAGGGTTTATGTTCAGGGTGTGGAGTGGGGTTTAGGGTTTTAGGGGGCATTGACCTCGGCACTTCCAGGCTCTCACCCTCGCAGCTTCAGGCTACGGCCACTTCTTGCCCTCGACCTTCAAAGGTTTATAGGGCTTAAGCCCCTCACAAATCGCGTAAACCCTAAACCTTGCAAACCCTAAACTGAAATTCGCATCAATCCAAGAGCCTTTAGAACCGGGAACAAGAACTCCGGACGATGATTTCCTGAGACGAGAGGCAGTCCTGTTTGTGGCTCCCCCATGTAGCTGGGGAGTCGCTGTGAGCCTGCACGCTGCGTTTGACACCTGATCCCCACATGCAGGGTACGGCATGGCCTTTGTGAGATTGTTGCTTAAGGGGTATAAGGAGGGACCCCTAGAAGGGACCCTTCATCTTATTCCCCTATAAAACCCCTATACATATATATATATATATGTATATTGCTCACCCCCCCCATGATCTACCGCGGTGGGTCTGGGAGAGAGGGCGCGGGGGTGGGGTGGGGGCCTTGCATGCACTGTAGAATGATATACGAAGTTGGCAAAATTATGATAGTGATGCTGACAATAATAAAAGCAGCAATTAAAATATTAAAAAATGATAATGATAGGAATCATAATAATCATAGTAATAGTGATAGCAATACTAATTTCAATGATAACCACAATAATGATTGTAATAATAATAGTAGTAATCATAATCATAAGAAGAATCATAATCATACTATACTGTAAACAGTGGTAACAATAGCAATAGTTATAATAACAGGAAGAGTGGTAGTAATCATAATAATATAGACAAATTTATTTTTTTATTATAGTAGTACTAGTAATACGAGTCAAACTAGTAAGAAGCAGAAGAAGAAGAGTAATGATAGGAATAATAATGGTAGTAAGAATAGTAAGAATCAAAATGATAATACTACTGATAATAATAAACATAGGAATAATAGTAACTATGGTTATAAACGTAATAATCGTAAGAAGAAGAATAATCAAAATAAACTAGTATGAACAATAATACCAGTTGTAACAACAACAAGAATAACAAACAGCAATAATGCTAAAACCAAAAAGAATAGATACTCTTAGTAATAATCATAATGACAATAGTAATTATAGTAATGATACTCATAATAAGAATAATGATGATGACAATAGTAATGATGCTACTATTACTAATGATCATACTAGTAGTAGTAATGGCAATAGCAATAATGGTAATAACAATAACGATCATATTACTATTAGTAGAAATATAATAATCATAGGAAGAATAATAATGATAACAATAGCAACTATAATAATATTAATAGGAATACAAAATGATAATGTTAACAATAATTATGATAATAGCCACAATAGCAGAATAATTAAACGAATAATCCTTGTTATAATGATACGGCTAACAATAAAAAACACGACTCATAGCAATAATTGTAGTAGTAGAAGTAGTAGAAGTAGTAGTAGTAGTAGTAGTAGTAGTAGTAGTAGTAGTAGTAGTAGTAGTAGTAGTAGTAGTAGTAGTAGTAGTAGTAGTAATTATGAAATATTGATATTAATAGGAATACAAATAGGAATGATAATGGGAATAATAATAGAAATATAATAACAATACTAATGCTAATAATCAAAACATGCTAATAATCATAATCATAATGTTAATAATGGTAAGAAGAATCATATTAACAAAGATAATAGTAATCATAATGATAATGACAATAAGAAGAAATTTAACAGTAATAAAACCTACATGATTTTCTGAAACAAATCAGAGTTAAGAAAAACGTGTGGTCTCATTTACAAAATTAAGATTTTTGAGAAAAGGTAGATGATTTTCCGTTAAAAATTGGAAATTCATGTTTTTCTGCAAAGAAAAGGATGGTGGCGATCCAGTTTTGTCCAGTTTCGGCCCAGTTTCGATCCAGTTTTGGTCCAGTTTCATGAAACTGGACCTACTACCGTCAAGTCTTCAATAGACGTTTGGCAGATGGTTCGCTATGCACGTCACCCGTCATTTCGCCCGTCAGTGTTTGAGGAAAAAACACAGCCGCAAGACACACGTTCAAAAAGCAAAATGCACATAAAACACACACCACTGCTTTTATGTGGCATAAGATAACATAGCCTTTTGTATTATAGTGTAGTTTTTTCTACATTTTCCGAGGAAAAAATCAGAAATTCAGACTTAGAGTTTAGGGTTTAGGATTTAGGGTTTAGTGTGAAGCCCAAGGATGGCATCAGCATTGTCAGCCCAGAAGGCATCTTTCATCACGAGTATTTCACCATCAACACGGCTCCCCAGATGCCAGAAACCCCATAACTTCCGTATTCAGGTGAACCACCGGTTCCGAAGGCTTTTGGCTGGTCGCAAAATCGCGATGGGATACGAGGCTGGGCCCCGTAGGCTACCTCTAGTCTGACATTGGTAGCGGAGCCTGTATGCTCCTGTAACTCCGCTTGCTCACATGTCGTTTCCTGATGCTGGTGATGGTGATCCGCTGCCGGGCTTCGACGGAGCTCAAGGTCCCGGTGGTGATGTTCCGGTCAACGAGCCGGTCGATTCGAGTGGCAGGACCTCGGACACGGGACCTGCAAGTCGTGATGGTGACGATGTGGTTTGGACTTCGTGGAATGAAGATGGAGATTGGGAGCAACGCGGTTGGTCCCGCGACATGTGGTCTTGGACTCATTGGGAGGAGTCAAGAGATCGACGAGGAGATTGGCGAGAGGTGGACGGAGAGCGTCGGGCTAGCATGACGAGCACAGGTTTGTCCGGCACCGGCGACTCCCGGACCACAGGGCCTGCCGGCCGGAATCCAGGCTTGTGGACGATGCCCGGAGATCCGTGGAGCGATGGGAGAGGACACGGTGGCGGGCAATCTGATCCTTGGATGGCGTACCGGACTTCATGGCCTGGTCAGGTGCTACCTGGACAAGTCGGTCTTCCTCATGAAGTGCCCGGTGGACCCGGACCTCCACTACCTCCCTCGGCAGATGGTCGAGCCTGGGTACCTCCTGGTGACGATTCACATCTTCGCCCTCGAGTCGAGAGAGATGAAGGGGCTGTGTGGAACGGATGGCGTCACTTCGGCGATGGCGGCTACTACCAGGACAATTCTGACGGTCGCAACGGGGGTTTGAAGAATGCCGGGCACACCCGCCCGACAGAGCGGCTCACCGCACCTTCTTTCTCCGGCGACGGTGAAGACGTGGGGTCGTCAGCTCGGTCGTACCTGCGACAGATCGAAGCCTGGCGGAGGATGACGCTTGTTCCTCTACACCAACAAGGGCTAGTGCTTTACCAAGGACTATCTGGAGGAGCATGGGTGGCCGCAGAAGAGTTGAACGTTGATGAGCTCGGCAAGGCCACCGGAGTGCAGTACCTGGTATCATGGGTCACAGCTCGCTACCTCGACCTCGAGATCACGCGGATCGGCCGGGCGTTCTCCGAGTTCTTCAGGAAATTGAAACGGAAGCACGGGCAGAGCATCAGGGAGTACAACACCGAGTACGACAGGCTCTACGCTCGTTTGAAGGAGATTGGATGCACTTTACCCGAGGCCTGTGCAGCTTGGTTGTATGTGGACCGCCTCCAACTTGAAGAACATGCCGAACTCAACCTCCTGGCGAGCGTCGGGAACAAGTACGCACTGTTGCCTTTGCAGCAGGCAGCAGTGATCCATGACCGTGGGCATCGCAAGCCTTGGGAAAATGCCAAGCGGAAACCCTACATCAACCACCTCACCGATGCCCAGGATGACGAAGAGGAAGCCCACTCCGATGAAGAGGACCTTGCCGATGGAGTACCCGAAGAAGTCGCCACCGCCTACATGGCTTACCAGTCCGCCAAGAACAGGTACAAGGATCAAGCGCGCAACCGGGGGTACCATGGTCCTAAGGGGGAAGAATCTGGCGGTGGAGGAGGCAACGGACACGACAAGGACTCGAAAGGGGTGAAGGACGCCAAGATCAAGAGTATGAAAGCCAAGTCGTTCTGCGCAGGATGTGGGAGAAGAGGCCACTGGCACCGAGACCCCGAGTGTCCCCACAACCGTGGTCGAGATGATGACAAACACCCAAAGGGGGCCGCCGTGAAGGAGATCGAGATGTGCAGCGTGATGCCGGCCGACGTCTTCGTGGTGAAGTACGAGGGCGACCAGTTGCACGGGATCACCGACACAGCTTGTGCAAGGACGGTTACCGGGACTCAGTGGCTGCAACGGTACCTAGACATCGCCGGGAAGGATGGCAACTCTCCTCAATTGCATCGTGAGTGTGAGGCCTTTCGCTTTGGTACCGGGAAGATCTACTACTCATCGTTCTACGTGATCCTCACGTTCACCTTCGGCAACAAGCTGGTTCAGGTCAGGACCTCTGTGATCACGGGCGACATACCCCTTCTCCTGTCCAAGACAGTTCTCGGAAAGCTTGGGATGCTCTACGATGTTGAAGGGGGAAAGGCCGATTTCACCAAGGTAGGGATACAGAACTACAGGCTGGCGACAACGCCGTCCGGGCACCCTGCCATTTTGATTGTACCTGCCCCTCCTCCCATCAGTGGAGGAGCTGACTTGCTGGCAGAAGACCTTCGACTCGAGCCTCTCGCGGCATATATGGCTTTCGCTGTGTCATGTCGCAGTCCTATGGGCGCTAGCAGTCCGAGCCAGCTCTACGGTTTCTTCCATGACAAGAAGTTAGACCCCAGTGTTCGAAACATGCTCGCCCATGAGAAGTTCGAACATCATACCTTCTATGCATGGTGGTTGGGAACTTCCATCGCTGGGGACTTCTGGGTTGAGACCTTTGACAGTTGGATTCGGATACATGTCACCCCCAGGAAAGTCCTTTTTAACCCTGCAAAATGGAAGACATCTACTCCATTGCTGCGAACCATGCTCTTGAACAGTATCGGAGACTTTAGAGTGACAGAGGGGGTGTGCTGCAACTCCGGGAGGTGGCTTGAGCCTACAGTAGATGTCATTGGAGCCAGTGAAGCTGATCGTGACGAACCACTCCTGCCGCTGTTGTGGATCGGAAGAACAGTGTTTAGCAAAGCTACACAACCCAATTCGATACCAACCCCATCTCTCCCGAGCGGGTATGTCAGGGCAATGTCCTCTGCCGCCGCAGTCGATGAGACCCGCCATCTCGAAGATGGGGAAGGTGCAGCTCCTCGAGGAAGCCTTGCGTTTGGGCTTGGTGGTCCACCGAAGCTGGAGTGTGGAGGAGATCAAGTCGGCGATCATGGAGCACACGGCCCAGGAGGACCAGAACGACCCCACGATGATGATGAAGAGGATGGGCAACATGACCCTCGCGGAGTTGAAGTTGAAGGCCACTTCGTTGGGAGTCGAATACAACGAGCGAGTGACGAAGGGGAACCTCCTGCGGTTGGTGAGAGACCATGTGGGCACCGAGGACACCGAGCTGATGAAGGTCGGGCGATTCCGGGGCTACGAGTTCCGCGAAGTACCGACCTCGTATGCGACATGGGTGGCGCAGGAGTACAAGAGGGCGGACACCATGGACCCCGACCTGGTGAGGTTCCTTCGATGGCACGAGAACAAGGAGAAGCAAAAGAAGGAGACATACTCCGGGGGGCTGACGGACAATGGATACTCAACGACCCCCTACATCCCGAGCTACGACACGGCGGACAGTCAATCGCAGTACCACTCGTACCAGTCGCACCGATCGAGCGCGGGGAGCTCATGGGGAGTGGTGGATACTCCGGACGCCTCGAGGAGCCCCAAGAAACGAGCCACCGGGGAAGTGAATCCGGAGATCATGGACCCGGAACCGGACCCCTCCACCATGGCCGAGATCCAAGCGTTGGAGGCGAAGTTGGCGGCACTCAAGGGCAAAGCTCAAGGACAAAGGAAAGGGAGGTGATCACAAGCGATGAACGGAGAGCTGGCCGCGAAGGATGCGGGGGATGTGCAGGAGATAGGCCAGACGACCTGATCACCGAAGAAGAGTTCCTCTCTAGGTATAAGACCCACCACTCCTACCTCGTGCAGGACCTAGAAGATGATATCCACAGCGCGGCAACCCCGGTCGAGGATGCGGCCCAGGAAGCCTACAAGCGCGGTGACTTCAGCCATGAGAGATGCCTGCAGGTTCTACGGCTACTTCCTCATGAACCACAAAAGGTCCTTAGGGGAAAGGGGTTTGCAGTCAACGAGGGGGAGAACGATGGGGGAAGCCTACAGTCCGGGTACAGTTCCTATGGCCTTTTCGTCCACGGAGGGACCCATGGAGTCACAGTAGCCAGTCAAGACCATGGACACCTGACCAGGTACATCAATGCCTACGGGAGACACCACCTCGAGAAAGGAGCCACATGGTCCACCTTCACCCTGTCCGTCAACGTCCAATCGAAGCTACACCACGATGCCCACAATTTGAGAGGGAGTCAGAACCACTGCATCAGTCTTGGTCAGGATTCCGGAGGAGGGGTCTGGGTTCAGCATCGTGACCTTAGCGAAAGGGAAGCCAACACCGCTGAAGTCGTGTGGAAAAGGGGTGGGAATGGAAGTTGGATACCTGGCCACATCGTCAACACCAAGAACAACTTCTACTCCTTCGACCCGCACCTGAAGCACTCGACCGAAGAATGGGGAGGAAATAGGTGGTGCCTGATATTCCACACTGCTCGCAGCATCAACAAGGTTGGCGATGAGGTCCGGGACTACCTGAAACGATTGGGGTTTCGCCTACCTCGACGAGATCCTGAACAGCAAGAAGAGGGGCATCGGGTGGGCAAGCTGAAACCGAATCGGGGGATGAGATCACGTCTTTCCGGGATCGCGGGCAAGTTGAGTGTTCTCTATACCACCTTGCTCATTGCCTCCACCTCGTTTCTTAGCGAAGTATACAGTCCAGGTCCGACTTACGACCCCATCGTGCTCTTTGAAATCGGTGGGTTCGATCACACGATGGAGGCCACTGATCTCAACAAAACGGTGTTGGAGCCCTTGTCGTGGACCAGCTACAACGCGCCCGAGGGTAAAGAGCTCGCCCATAACTTCATCATCGGGGCAAGTCCACAAGAGCTATGTGTCCACACCGGTGACATGCCAGAGGGTTGTGAGCAGGACGTGTTGGACCTTGCACGAGAACAACTAGAAGGTGGGGGGAGCGTTATCGTCGAGGACGACAAGGTCGGGAGGTTCGTTGACTACCTCACGAAGTACTTGCAGTACTATGACGAGGCCAAACAGCGGGCAGTGTTCTTCAGGGAGAAAGCCGGACGACGGAGATGGGATGGAGAGAAACGGGCACACCAAGTATGCGTTCTTGATGAAATCGGAGGAAAACCTGACGAGGACGCCAAGAAGGACATCAAGCTTCAAGCCGGAGGAATACGCTTCGATCCCTCAGTTAGCGAGACCATTCGGGGTCCTCTGAGACGTCTGCATCAGAACCTCGGACATCCTCGACGAGAAGATCTGCTTCGCCATCTTCGCCTGGCTGGTTGCGAGAATGCCGTCCTCAAGGCAGTCAAAGGGATGACTTGTGAAGTTTGCGATAGTCAAAAGGGGCCCAACATCGCAAGGCCTAGCGCGCTCCCCAGGATGTACGGTTTCAATGACTGTGTGGGGGGCGACATCCTCTATGCCCACGATGTCAACGACGAGAAGCACATCTTCCTCAACCTAGTCGATTGGGGAACCACCTTCCAGGTTGTGGTCAAAATCCCAGGTACCAAGGCCGAGGACCTCGAGAAGGCATTCAACGATCATTGGATCACCCCCTTTGGACCTCCGGTGACCGTGTCTCTGGACTTGGAAGGTGGTCTGCAGAAGGGGCTAGCGCGACTTTGTGATTGGCACCACATCAAGGCGAAGCATGCTGCGGCCCAAGCCCACTGGCAAGCAGGGGTCACTGAGAGGCATGGGGCTTGGTGGAAAAATATCTGGGATCGAGTCGTACATGATCGAAGCGTTGGAAGTGAAGAAGCCGAGTTAGCAGCCACATGCGTATCAAGTGCCAAGAACGAGCTCAGGAGGAGGTGTGGCCACGCCCCAGTCACCTGGGTCTTCGGCAGAAATCCAAGGGGGCTGGAGGACTACATCGACCCCGACTCAGGAGAAAAGCTCACCTGGAGTCTGTCCGGAGACAGTCAATATCAGAGGTTGGTCACCATGAGGGCATCCGCGAGAATCGCTTTCCACCAGTCGCAGAATGATGATCGGCTTCGACGAGCTCTACTACAGCGGGCGAGGACTGTGTCGAGACCGTATGAGCCGGGAGAGCCGGTACATTTCTGGTTCCAACCCAAGAATAGGAGGAGAGCGAGATGGGAAGGGCCTGCCGTAGTGGTTGGGCGAGAAGGGAACAACTATTGGATATCCAGGAACGGACGATGCCGATTGACAGCGCCAGAACACCTTCGCCCATCAGGACCAGAAGAAGTCGGAGAACTCATGACCATGAAGTACGTCGAGAAGGAGATGAATGCCCTCCTCGAAGCCGACCTTGACCACGACGACACCTTCGACCAGGACAAGTTCGTTTTGGACTATGACAGGGAGCTCGATGATGCGACTGGTGAACGCGGGGGGCTGTATGATGAAGAAGAAATGATGGACTACGAGCCGGACATTGACGAAGAGGAGGATCTCGGCGGGGGAGTCCGGCTAGAGGAGGCTATTGACGAGCCGATGGCTGCGAGACCGCCTTCACGTAGATTCAAAAGGAAGGGGCCACCCGAAGATGCAGTGTGTGAAAAGGGGGAACGGGCTCATGAAGCGATGGCGGTGAGAAGACAACTCACCCAACGTGGTGTCGCCAAGAGACAAGAGAAGGAGCTCAAGTGGCACGAGATCCCCGACGAGGTGAAGGAGAAGTTTCGGCATGCAGAACGACAACAGTGGGAGGAACACCTGGCCTTTGACGCGCTGGAACCTATGTCAGTCGACGAAAGCCACTGGGTCAGACAGAACGTCAACAAGGAGAGAGTCCTCCGATGCAGGTGGGCTTATAGAGACAAGAATTGGTCCAAAAGGAAAGGGGGGAGCTCCGAGATCGAATGGAAGTGTAAGTCCCGGCTTGTCATAGCTGGACACACCGACCCAGACCTCGGCACCAGCGCAGGACTGAGTACAGATGCTCCCACTTTATCTCGGGCCGGATTCCTCACGCTCATGCAAATTCTGGCGAATGGAAGGAAAGATAAAGATCCATGGCGAGCTTCCGCAGGAGATATCAGATGCGCCTTCCTCACCGGGAGCTACCTGAAGCGGGAGGAGGAGCTCTTTCTTCACCAGCCAGACACAGGGTTCCCTGGACTCGATCCTCGTCAATTGGTTCGGGTGAAGAAGAACATCTTCGGCCTCGCTACAAGTCCACATGAGTGGTGGGGTGACCTACAGGCAGGCATCAAAGGGATAGAGCTTCGTCACGACGGCAAGGTGTACGGCTTCGACCAATGCCCACTGGATCCCTGCATCTTCGTCCTAAGAGAGAAGATCGACGGAGGTTTTCGCGGAGCTGGGATCGGGTTTGTCGGGAGCCATGTCGACGACCTCCTGGTGATTGCACCTTCAACCTTCGGCGAGCTGATCAAGAAAGAGTTGTCTGCTGCTTTTCCGGTGGACGTTTGGGAGGACGACGAGTTCTCCTATGTGGGGATGGAATTGAAGTGTGACGAGTTTGGGGTGAGTGTGACCCAGACAAGCTACGTCGACAGCCGCCTGTTCCATGTCACAGTTCCGAAGGGCGTGAAGGACGAGGACATTGCCGATCAGGAGTGCGTTGCGGACAACAGGTCTTTAGTGGGGGCCCTTTCGTGGGTTTCGGCACAAACCCGAGCCGATCTCACATGCTCAGTCAGCATGGCTCAACAGGCACAGGCGAGGCCCACCTACGGCGACATCAAGTTCACGAATGTCGTCTCCACTAGGGCCACCCAACATCGAGACCAAGGACTTCGCTTCAGGGGTGTACCTCGTGACGACATCCTCTTCCTGATCTACCACGACGCTGGGTGGGCCAATGCGCACTACGAGGACGACGACCCTAACTTCAAGCTCTACGACGAAGACAACCAAGCCGGCGTACAGCACGAGTTACCCCCATCCCTCAAGGGGACTCGTAAAGCCAAGAAGGAGAACTCGAAGGTGGCATCGCAGCTGGGATGCCTCATCATGATCGCAGAGAGAGGATGCGTCGGCAAGAAGGGTGGCATCGCAAATGTGGTCGACTGGAAGTCGAGAGCAGGCCAACGAGTATGCCGAAGCACGTTCGGAGCGGAGGCACAGGCAGCAGCAGAAGGGCTCGAAGCGGGGCAATACATGAGGTCTTTGTACGAGACCCTCATTGCCGGGGAACTCGTCGGTGTCGACCAAGCAGTGTTCCCCCTCCTATGCGTCAGCGATTGCAGATCGCTGTTCGATCATCTCCATCGTGAAGGTGTTCCTCGCACTCCGAGCGATCGACGGCTGGCGGTGGACCTAGCTGCTCTGAGGCTAGGGCTGAGAAGCGAACAGTGGGGAGCGAAGCTCCCGTTTGGGTGGATACCCACCCATCTACAGATGAGTGACATTTTAACCAAACCACAAGACAGTGCAGCCTGGTGGGACTCGTTAGGGGGACCACTCCTGCTTCCGATCAATGTAGCTGGGGAGGATGGCAGAATCCGTAACAGAAATGTTACAAGAAGGGGAGCCAGTGTGAAGCCCAAGGATGGCATCAGCATTGTCAGCCCAGAAGGCATCTTTCATCACGAGTATTTCACCATCAACACGGCTCCCCAGATGCCAGAAACCCCATAACTTCCGTATTCAGGTGAACCACCGGTTCCGAAGGCTTTTGGCTGGTCGCAAAATCGCGATGGGATACGAGGCTGGGCCCCGTAGGCTACCTCTAGTCCGACATTTAGAGTTTAGGGTTTAGGGGAACCCTATAGACCCTAGCCCTAAATCCCTTCATGGGGATTCAGCGTGGCGAGGCTTGCTTGTGCATTTCAGTGGTGTGCGCTTGGCAGCCTGCGGGCGCCAACTCTGGAGGGGATTGCGCACTGACACCCTTGGCAGCCCAGTGTCCTGGTTTAGGGTTTAGGGTTTAGGGTTTAGGGTTTAGGGTTTAGGGTTTAGGGTTTAGGGTTTAGGGTTTAGGGTTTAGGGTGTGGGGTTTAGGGTTTGGGTTTTAGGGTTTAGGGTTTAGGGTGTTGGTAGCCCAGTGGTACCCTTTACTTTGTGTTTTGGGGTTCTTGGTCCCCTTACAAAGTAACCAACCCCAAAAAAGTGTGCCCTTATATGATAATATGGTTACTGGGCTACGAAGAATGACACCACGGCAGGATCAAGCGCCTGTCTATGGCGCTTGTCCTGCCGTCTCGCTTTCTTTTTCAAACCTCACAACGGTCAAGAGCGCCCTCGATTTTTTTTGCATTTTAGTTAGGACTTTGGGAAGATGATAGATAGTGCAACTGCCCGTTCTTAAGGGGATGATCTTCGTCGATGCACATGCGGTTTCTTAGTGGGCGTGATCTCGACGCTGAATCTGCGCTGCGTGAGCCAGCTGCAAATTTTAAGTCAATTGTTCTGCCAATGATTATCGTGTCCGGCACCAGCCACATTTTCCGCGTGTGGCGCTGGCTGTCAACCGCACAGTACATCATGTATATCTATCACCGACACTGCACACTGCCGCTGCAGGGGCATGTGGTTCTCCGGCCCGTCCCTGTATTTCTCGGCACCGTCTAATAAATATTTGCACGACGATTCACTCCGCGGGGTGGAGTTCTGTTGACCTTGGGGTGAATTCGGGGCTTATTCAGGGGCTATTTAGGGGCTTATCTAGGGGCTTATAGGGCTTATTAGTGCCATCTCTTAAACCTTAGCCCTGAGCTGCACACCCCACTTCCAGCCATGCTGGCGGCAAATGCCGACGCGACTGTTAACCGCCCAAACAAAGCCAGGAGTGTACGGTTTGGGGTTCGGAGTTTCGGGTTTAAGGCCCTACTTTTTTCGGAGTTGCTGACTCTAGGGTTCCATACTTCTGACTTCAGAATTTTTCTGGCATCACAGACTTCTTTTATTCAGTTCGGTTGTGGGCCTTCAGGGTGTCACAGTTTCGTCCTGAGATGTTTTTTCGGGATTTCAGACTTCTTCTTTCCGCCTCTGCTACGATTACGTTTGTTAGTAGCGCGCTCCCTCTTTGAGATTGTTTTGGTGGTTATTTTCTAAGCACTATTGCCCCTAGTGTTATTGTTGTTGTTTTTGTTTCCTCCCGCTATGACGACAAAGTACTTATTACAAATCTGCAAGTTCCAGTGTCACAAGCACCTTCATTCCATGACAGTTAAGGGCTGCTCATAGGGTTTAGGGTTGGGGTGCTCAGGTGTTCCCCCTTATACGAACAGTCCTTATAGTAGGGATCATAGTACCGCTATTCTAATCCCTATCAAGGGCTGTTAGTATAAGGGGGAACATCCCTAAACCCTAAACACAAAACCCCAAACCCTAAAACCTAAATTCCATGTCCTGACCCTAATGGGGTTTAGGGTTTTAGACCCCAAACCCTAAACCCTAAACCCTAAACCCTAAACCCTAAACCCTAAACCCTAAACCCTAAACCCTAAACCCTAAACCCTAAAGCCTAAACCCTAAACCCCATGTAAGCCTCATAGGGTTCAGGGTTTTTTTACCTTCTTCCTAGTACTGCGCCTCTTGGGGCCACCCGGACCCTGGATTCCTCTTGGCGGGGCGGCGTGAGATCCAACCCCTGGGTCTCGGTTTAATGCTTGCAGATGCTGCGAATGCAGACCCTAAACCCTAAACCCTAAACCCTAAACCCTAAACCCTAAACCCTAAACCCTAAACCCTAAACCCTAAACCCTAAACCCTAAACCCTAAACCCTAAACCCTAAACCCTAAACCCTAGAGCTCACGAGCCGAGGCATTCGGTCGCACCTAGTGCACCAGCCTAGTGCACCAGAGACCAAGGAAGGTCCGATGTCGACAGCTGCCATGTCAAGATGTACCAGGATGGGCTGTTAGCCTAAACCCTAAACCCTAAACCCTAAACCCTAAACCCTAAACCCTAAACCCTAAACCCTAAACCCTAAACCCTAAACCCTAAACCCTAAACCCTAAACCCTACACCCTAAACCCTAAACCCTAAACCCTAAACCCTAAACCCTAAACCCTAAACCCTAAACCCTAAACCCTATCGTACCCATAAAAGGGCCCTTCTGGGGGGGGGGGGGGTTCCGGGGCATCATCAACCCTGTAAAGGGCCCTTGTAAACCGGGCTTAAGGGGTTATAAGGAATGAGAGCCCGTCCTGGAGCGGGCCTGACGTTGCAGAGCACGCAGGAGTGGCAAGCGTCCGAGCAGGACCTTGGGTCTCTCCGAAACCCTAAACCCTAAACCCTAAACCCTAAACCCTGAAATTTAACTTTTGTTGAGTCATGAGTCATGAAGCTTGCCTGCAGCGCTCGACGCTTCTCCAGAGGCCGAAGGAACGGAGCCCTAAACCCTAAACCCTAAACCCTAAACCCTAAACCCTAAACCCTAAACCCTAAACCCTAAACCCTAAACCCCAAACCCGAAACCCTAAACCCTAAACCCTAAACCTAAACGCTAAACTACCCAACCTTGAACCCCAAACCCTGAACCCTGCAACCTCCCAAACCGTCTAGCTGCCTGGGAAGTCACGGGACGTCTGTGAGCTGTAGACATGCCCATGGGTCCATGGACAGGGGATTTGGAGGTCAGTGGATCAAGCAGGGATCAAGCAGTAGTTCGGGGTTGAGTGTCTAATACTTCTAACATGCATACATTCATAAAATTGTTTACCGTTCGATATGATCCAAGTGTTTTTGATGATCCAAATGTTTTTGTTAAAGTACGTTCGTGAAGGTTTGGATATGTATCATTACTAAAATCTGATTTGTAAAAAACTAAAATTTAATTCCATGAAAATAAAAAATATACGTACAATTAGGTAGGGTTACGGGTCTAGGGCTGTATGTTTTTGGGGGCTTGGGGTTCGGGGTTCGGTTTTCGAGCTTGTATTTTGAGAATACGACCTTCCAGTAGGGTTAGCGACTTCGTAAGATTTGTTAGTGTTCTTTAGGGGCTTTGGGCGTCAGGTGTGTCGGGCATCTTGAAATTGTTTCAAACACCATAAGCCCCTCAGCCAAAATTCAAACCCCGAGCCCTAAAATGCCTAGACTCCTAAACCCCAAACCCCAAACCCCAAACCCTAAACCCTGAACTCTCTAGAACTCTTTTTTTAAAGCCCCAAAGCTGTAAAATCCTAAAGCCCTGAACCCTGGAACGTCCATGAGCTTCGGTTCAGGGTTTAGGGATTGAGGCTTGGGGGTTTAGGGTCCAGGGTTTAGGGTTTAGGGTTTGGGGTTTAGGGTTTAGGGTTTGGGGTTTAGGGCTCGATCCAGAGATTGTCCATGGACCCCGGCGGACGAAGCATCTTTAATGGCGCGGGAGCTGCGACGCGAGGCCCCGCGCGACTACCAGCTCTGTGTGCTGGAGGGTTTTAAGGGCTTGGGGTCTATGCTTCGAAGGGTAGTGACATGGTCCCTGAACATGGTCCCCTACTTTCTTTAAGAGGTCCTGAAGTACGGGCCCTTGGGTTATGTAGTGTATAGAAGTGTATATAAGGGGGGGGGGGTTCCCATGTCAGGGCCCCTAGATCATGTGGGGTTTTCAGGGTTTGGGGTTAGTGTTTAGGGTTTGGGGTTTAGGGTTCAGGGTTTAGGGTTTAGTGTTTAGGGTTTGGGGTTTAGGGGTCAGGCTTTGCTCGTCGTTTTTCTATCTTGCAGTCTTCAAGAGGCTTTACGGCATATGCCCATTGAGGCCGCTGTTGCTGGAAAAGATAGACCCCCGAAAACTAAGTGATCAGCCATAAACACGAGGGTCTTTGTGGTTCTGGGGCTAAAGGTGTTGATGTCTTAAAAGGGTTCAGGTATGCGAAATCCCCATTCGTGGCTTGCAGGTTCAGGGTTTTGGGGGTTGTGGTGTGAATCGGAGAGGGACTAAGGGCTGAGGTTTCGAGAGCTCTTGGTACCATGCAGCAACCGCAGCCGTGAACCTTGAGCCCTAAACCCTAAACCCTAAACCCTAAACCCTAAACCCTAAACCCTAAACCCTAAACCCTAAACCCTAAACCCTAAACCCTAAACCCTAAACCCTAAACCCTAAACCCTAAACCCTAAACCCTAAACCCTGAATCTAAAGAAGCCTTGAATCCCGAGCCAATGGCCCCGCCACCCCAAGCCTGGATGGCGACATCGTGGGCTTCGTGATTCGAGTAAAGGGGCAGAGGGGGGCTTCAGAAGGCTTCAGGGTTCAGGGTTCAGGGTTCAGGGTTCAGGGTTCAGGGTTTAGGGTTTAGGGTTTAGGGTTTAGGGTTTAGGGTTTAGGGTTTAGGGTGCGCCGTGGGCCTGCGTGTTTGCCAGTGCAGACCCACCCCCAGTCCTCTGCTCGAGAGCGTTGGGTTGCAGGGCTCCCGGCGCTCGCCAAAGCACCCCGCAGAGGGCTCAAACCCCACACCTGCACCAATGGCGAAGAAAAAGGCACCCGCGGATCTCCCCTAAACCCTAAACCCTAAACCCTAAACCCTAAACCCTAAACCCTAAACCCTAAACCTTAAATTCCCACCCGGTCGGCTTAGGCCGTACCCACCCCTGTGGTGCCGTTGGAGAGTGGTCACATTTAGGGTTCGAGGCTGGGCCGGCAGGACCAGGTCTTGGGAGTGACGATTGTTGAACACCCTAAACCGAAAAACCCCAAACCCTAAACCCTAAA